CGGTTGTGCGGCTCGTAGCACACTTGCGTTTTGCTTACAAAGAGATCTGCATTACAGTAAGGTCTGTTATCAACAGTTAGAACCATCGATATAATAAATGTCAAGCTCATGGAAGGTTAAACACTTTTCGCATTGCATCCCTGCCTTTTCGTATTCCGTCGACACCTCAGCCTACTTGGAGGGCCCCAGTCTGGCCAGCCCGACCCCTACCAGTCGCGATGTACGTGTGTCCGGAAGGGCACTGTGTCTCCTGCGCCAGCGTGGTACGCGATTTTCTAGCTACAGATGTGATGGCCGGAGGGCGGCGTCGCTGCGGCCTGCGCCGTCTCCACCGGCCAGTTCCGTCTGTCTGTCCCGGCGGGCGGAGCCGCCTCCACCGGCCAGTCCCGTCTGTCTGTCCCGGCGGGCGGCGCCGTCTCCATCGGCCAGTTCCGTCTGTCTGTCCCGGCGGGCGGCGCCGCCCGCCTACACCGGCCAGCCCCGTCTGTCTGTCCCGGCGGGCGGCGCCGCCCGCCTCCACCGGCCAGTCCTGTCTGTCTGTCCCGGTGGGCAGCGCCGCCCGCCTCCGGCCAGTCACGTCTGTCTGTCCTGGCAGACGGTACCGCTGCGGCCTGCGCAGTCTCCACCGGCCGGTCACGTCTGTCTGTTCCGGCGGGTGGCGCCGCTGCGGTCTGTGCCGTCCCCACCGGCCGTTCACGTCTGTCTGTTTGCAGGGAGCACGCACCGCTCGATACACGCGCGCACTGGGGCTGACAGCCTGCAAACTGGGCTACACGGTTGCTCAGGAGTCACCTGGGCGGGGTGGCGGCGGTTGGACGCACCAATGGCACATGGACAGACGCGCCAGAGGCAAGCGAGCGGATGCGCCACAGGCATACGGACGGACGCACCACAGGTACACAGATGGACGCACTAGAGGCACACACGGACCGACGCATCAGAGGCACACATGGACCGACGCACCACGGGCGCACGAACAGACACAGCAGGGGCACACGGACGCATTACGTAGGCGAACGGAATAGCTACGCCGCATGGTCACGCCGAAAATACACCGATAACCTCAAGGTCATGTGGACGGACTTACGTCACACGGACGGATTAGAGACACAATAGAGCTACGTCGCTTCGCCGAAGCTTCGCGGACAGACCAGAGCCGGGCGAATATCGCAGAACTACGGAGCCGCACCAGGAGCCCGTTGATAGACCAGGGACTCGCGAGCACAGTGACAGCTCAAGAAACACGACGCAATATCTCCGAGGACCTAAGCCACCCACCGGTGCACTGGGTCCAATCCCCTCCACCCGAGACAAACGGGACTGACGGCGGGGTGAGCGCGCGGTGAGACGGGAGCCGGCGAGGTCGGTCGGTAGACGGCGGCGGTGGTCCGCGGGGCACTCATTACAGCCGCGGCGCGGCGGTCCCCTCAGCCGATTGTGGCCGGCATTGTGCCGCCGGGCGCCGACCGCTGCGCCGCCAAATGTCGCGCCACTAAGTCACACCGCGCTGATGAATGGGCCTGGGCTCTATTTGGCCGCTTTGTCTGTGCTGGCACAGGCAAAAGTGACGGAGCGAACATAAAAAGGAGCTTAGCGTAATGCCTCGTGACAGAAAGCACCTCTCATTCAGTACCAGAGGGGTGGATGGCTGGCGAGTGACTTTCCAAAAATGGCGCGCGTTATGTCCTTTTAACGAAAAAGGTCCTCAGATGTCTTGCGCAGATAAAGCGACGCATACCGGCTGAAAAATGACTCAGTCAACGGATGATTAAAGACAAATCGCGGCTCATTTGCAACGATATCAGTCCCATTCGTTAACCAGTTTTTAGTAGCACTGGGGTCAGCCATCACGGATAACCAGGCATAGTTGGGCGGGCGGGGTCACATCTGGATTGAGGCTATAGTTTAGCAGGAACGCAGGCTAGCCTGACATTTACTGACACCATAAACTTTACCCTAACCCTGTTGTCGCCGCTGGCGCCATCCCGGTGATGAAATACGCCCATGCTCGGCGTGAGCTGAGCAAAAGTTCCGCGCGGCTCTGTGTCGCCGGTATCCATGCAGGCCATCCGAGTAGGGGGCGCTCAATGCAGGACAGCTCGTGCCCATAGCCTTCTTTTCTCAGCCCTCCCCTCGCCGGTCGCTCGGAGGCTCCATTTGACGCATGATTCACTGGACTGTCCGCCGGATGACAGAGACGGCGCGAAGCCCGGCTGGGTAACCGGAGTCCCCCGCCCGCCGCCATCCATCGACCGTCCGCCGCTGCCGACGCCCCCGCCGCCTGTGCGGCCGTCGACGCTCGCGACGCGCCACCATCGCGCGCGCTCGTCGGAGAGGTGGTGCCGTAAGGCTCGACGGTCGCCCCCTCGGGTCGGGTCCGGCGTCGACCTCGATTCGGTGGACGGGCCGTCAGCGTGTCTGGCGGGCAAATGGGCCGCATTCAGGCTGGTCAAAGCATGACTGAGCGTAGCTGCCTAAGTGCGGCGGCAGGACCATGGCCGCTGTCCAGTCAGTCAGTCAGGGGCCGACAGCCGTTGGACAGACTCCGCCCTGCGGTAAGTCCGCCTGCCATTCGGAAAATGCTCGCGCTGCCACCCGTGCACACTTTACAAACGCCGACCACAAATACGCACACGCACGCGCCCGCGATGGAGCTCTAGCAGTGTGGACCGTCTCGCGGTGATGGCGGGAGGGGGCGCCGCCCGCCGTGCGACAGTCGTTACCGGTTGGGGCCTGCGGGCGGCCGCCCCCTGCCGCGTGCCTTAGCGCCTCTCCGCCGAGCCGCGCCGCGCCGCCGGCGCCGGCGAGTGGAATCTGATTAAGGCCGGCCACGATGAGAGACTGGCCGCGCCTCCCAGCCGGAACACTACATAAAGAGCTGCCGACGGCGGCGACCGACCGCAGGCGCGGCCGCCCGCTGCGCTCTGTTCCGGTGCGCAATATTCACATGAGCGATGTTTGCGGCGTGGCCGCCGAGGCAGGGAGAGAAGGGCGAGACCGTGCTCTGGCCTAGGTCGGCGCTGCCTTTGCAAGTGGGCGGACGTGGCTTCGCCTGCTTTGCTATCCCAACACGAGAACCGGGTCTGTTGAATTAAAACGAAGTGAAAAGGGAACTGATTACAATCTCGAATAAGTACACATAAAATCACGGTTTACAGCTGAACATTTTAAAAAGTAGTTACATATGCCCTTAGGGTACTTATACTAAATCGTAATGATAAGCGCACGGGCTACGCATCCTGTGTCCGCCTCTGTAGAGAACGCTCACAACAAACGTAACCTAGTTCAGCGCTAAAAGTGTTGTATTTCATAGGGCCACTTACATGAATGGAAAGCACAGCATGGTATTTTTTTTTTGTACTGGACACATCAGCTTAACTGAAACCACGTGTTTGGCGGTGCACTGTTGTACGATGCGATTGCGGCAACTTTGCAGCGCCAGCTTTTCTTAGCATTTTCTGCCGTCGCTGCTTCATCAGGCGTCCTGTCCTCTTTCCATTTGTCTTCTTGATACTGACTAGCTTCATCCATGTAAGCCGTGAGTGATCATTGTTGCCTGTCAGGCCTCCGGCGGATATTATTTGACGACTCTCCTTTTTCCTTTCCGCTCCACTTCTGATCAATGCTGACAGCTCGCTAAATATTCATCAAGCCTCATTTTTGTCACAAAACATTCAGCCGTCACACTGATTTCTATTGCACAAATGGCGACTCTTTCATTCAGTATAAACCCGCTATTTTTAACAAACATTCCTGATCCCAGAGAGAAATGTGATTTAACACATGCGGCAGAACGGTAAGCAACAGGCGCTTACATCTTGACCCAGGTGGTGTGTGCCGCAGTATATTAAGCTGTAAATGTCTGGGCGGAATTGAGGCCTGCTTGATGTACTGTTGATTTCACGATTGATTGAAACTTAATGAAGTGAGCTGTAACAACTGATGTATGCTGTTCGTTGAGCACAGGGAATGAAAACGCAACTTAATCATCAAACATGAAAAATGGCAATACGGTATCTTCAGCTTTGTATGTAAAAAACGCATTCCAACGCATAACTCAACGTTTTTATCGCACCCAAAGCAATGCTCCAACTTGTTGAGCTAGTATCAGTAACAGGGCTCTGGAGAGATGCAATGTAAATTTGACTATGAAAAGGAATAAATGCGCCGCTTAATTCGTCAGTCCACCAAACCCTCCACTCCATGTGTGGCCGGTGTTGACAGCATATCATGAAATGCTGCAGCATTGTTGAGCGACGCTCAACGTGACACGTACAGACATCCTGGCCTGGATGTACCACAGCCAATATTCCGCGTTGCGTCACAAATGATGCCGTCACACGCCTGGACCTGCCAGATTCCATTCGGATGCGCACGCCCCATTTCCCCTGCTCATCATTAAGCCATCAGCATAAACGGTGCTCCAGTCGGATGTGATCGATGCCGGTGGCGGTGGCAGCCGGGGCGGCGAAAACACCGTGCCGCCCGGTGACCCGCGGCCACGACGGGCGGTGCCCCCTGACTGATCCCCTCCGGAACCGGCGCCTGCTGCGGTCGCCGCTCCGGCGTGGCTGCCTCTGATTACAGGCGGCCGCCTCTCTTCACCACCGCTGGACGCGGACCGCAATCTCCGCCAGCGTCTGGCGGCAGCAACCGACGTGGACCTGCCGCAGATGCCGCGGAGATCCCAGTGCGGCGGCGATGCCTGCGACCCGCCCGGTCTTAGCGGCAGGACGACCGCGCGGTTCGCCTCGGGCGCCGCCAGCCACAGGTTGCAGCCGCGGACGTTACCAGCGCGCCGCGAGCCGCGAGGGCGGAGGAGGACGGCGCGGTGGGCGCCGCTCGGCAGGGGGCGGCGGCCGGCGCGTCCCGGGAGGAACGGGAGGCTCCGCCGCCGGCGCGCATCGATTTCCAGCGGGACGGCTGCGGCCGAATGGTTGCGGTGGCGGCCGCCAGGCGGCTCCGGCGGCGGCGGCGTCAGCTGACCAGCGACAGCAGACATGGCGCCCGCCGTCCAGGTGCTGGTCGGCGCGCTGGGCGGCCTGCTCGGCCTCGCATGGCGGACCTGCGCCGAGCACTCGCCGCCGCTGCTGCTGCTGCGGGAGCGCAGCGTCGCTAACGACTCGCAGGAGGTGGCAGAGCCGCGCGTGGAGGCCGCTCGCGAGACCCATATGGCGGCGGCGGCGGCGGCGGGCCCGGTGGCCGCCGCCCACCCGCTGCTCACCCTGCTGCTGGTGCTGGTCATCGGTTCGGCCAGCGTGGCCGCTGCGCTCGGTCTGCAGCGAGTTCTGCGCCGGCTCGTGCACCGCGACAGGTGGGTGAGCCGCCCGGCCGGTGTCCTCACGCGGCGAGTGACGGCGTGGTCGGCTCCAGCTCGGCCGTCCGCCTGCCGCTGAAGCCTCCGTCGGACCCATGCCTGGAGGTGGTGTGGGACTGCTGCTTGCCAGTCTGACGTTTTGCTTCTTTTCAAAACAGGAGATTTTTCTTAAAAAAGAGCACGCTTTCGTCACGCGAGTCGAAAGGGGCCGTCAGGGCGCAAGAAAATCAATTAAAGGTTATTTTCTACGGCCAAATGTGATTTCATAGTACCATGCACAATGGTCGACATTGTTTTAGATGACAATTCGTATCCTGATTATCATTACAGGCCAGCGTGCTGCCATGGCACATTCTTGCGTAAGTGAATGGCTGGAAACACGCGTAGTTGTCAAAAGAAGCGGATCCATATGGTGCTGTGTGCTTCGATCCGTGCTATCTCTAAGTTGTTCGTATGTGCACACAGAGATGCGAGAGTCCCATTGTTTTTATAGCATGACCGGTACGATACATTGTCGTAAATGTGGCCCATATGTTCCCGGCATATCACTCTGGTCGGTGCTCGAGCGAGTTTGTATGACGCACAGCAAGGCGAGTGGGAATAACGTGCCGAAGTTATTATATCAGAATTGCCGTATTTCTACGTTCACCTAGTCACAAAATACCCTGCTCTCCTTTGGGTCTGCACCAACGTATATTTCTAGCTGAGACCTTCCAACGTCGCAACGATCCAACACTCTTATCCGCTATCCAGCTTACTTGCTTCATCCTGCATCCTTGCGACATCCCACTTGTCTGCATGCATCAGTCACGAGTGGGCTGAGAGGCCTCGTGGGAAGGGGGACCACGACCGGGTACCCAGCGCACACGCGCGAGTTAAGGCTCGGCGGTTGGCCCCCCAGGCGCACGCAGACCTGCCAGACTGTTGACCATTTTCCTCTTCCCATGGCCCTGAAATGATCATTTCTGGCCGAAAGGGTTGAAATCCACCCCAAAAAACTACAACCAACTCGACGATGGGACTCATGTCCTGGGAATCATGTTCTGCGCTTTTACTGTTTACCTTGCGCGCCGGCAGATGGCTGTAGTGCTGAGCGCCTGAATGGCAGGCTGTGCCGCATGGCATGGGCGAGAGAACGTCAGCCACGGCATAAATCCGCGTATATTTACATTACAGCATGAAGGGTTCGCACGTTGTAATCCAGCACGGAGAGCTGCGCCCGCGAAAAGGATTCGCCAGTTTTTCCAATGCAAGGCAAATATCGCCGTAAATTCGCACTGGTAGGCCGAGGGCCGGTCCCATATGAAATCTTGGCCTCCCAATATTGCGCCATTGCTAGGCGAATGTCTAGCCAGGAGTGGAACGTTTTGGAATCTGGAATTTGGTTCTGGAATGGAGTTTTCCATCGTCACGGAAGGGACATGGCCCGTCGTCTCTTTTTCTTGGCTCCATCAGCGAATGTCGCAAACAGATAAATTGGAGTGGATAAAGTTATACTTGTCGGAATTTGAACGGAGCGTGACTGCCGCTTTTCTTAGTCCGATGAGGAAATAAAACTTGAGGCGTAACACGAATTATCATTGTAGCATAAGCGGCAGGCGTTGTGCTTTATTAGTGTTTTATGATACAGGGCACATCAGTGCTGCATGCACACGGAATTATAAGAGCAGTTTTGGCCACACAACCACGCGCGCTTTGATGAGTGCTGTGCTAGCACCCAATAAATCGAATACATTTTGTCATGTAATATGAATCGTATTTTCAGGTTAGGCAGCTACCGATACTTCAGAGTCAACCAGGACGACGACGGGGAGCTGGCAGAAGTCAATGGAGAATATCAGATGGGACTGGATGACTCCAGCGAAGATGAGGTCAGCAAACTGATAGCTGCGAAAGCGGAGGAAATCAGGGTGCTTAGATAAACCAATAACATATGTTGCTTTGTATCAGTCACGTATCGTCGCTGGATGGCGATTCCATCGCTTCCTGTATTGTTAGCATTCTCACGTCCATGCATGGTCACTCGGAATGCGATGGGTGTCTGCACTTCGTTGGCTGTATTTATGTGTTGACGCGGAAGCCAGCAGCGTCGATGCTCCGGCCGCGGCGGTGCAGAATGGCGGCTGATAGCGGGGCGTCGGCTCCTGTGCTCGCAGCTGGGGCCGGCCCGGCTGCCGGTGAATACGCCGGAAGCGGCTGAGGTCCGGCGCAGCTGCGGCCGCTCGCCGCCTCCCGAGGCCAAGTCCCTCCTGATCGAGTCCTCCGATGAGGTGAGCGGGCCCGCTGACTACGTCCTCGGACGTGAGAACGGTCACATCCTCTGTCGGCGGTCGGGTCTGGTAACAGATATTTCGTCTCGGATCCTCCGATGAGGTGAGCCGGCCCACCTGACTGCGTCCTCGGACGTGAGAACGGTCACCTCCTCTGTCGGCGGTCGGGTCTGGTAACAGATATCTCGTCTCGGATTGGATCGGATCGGAGGATTGGTATCGAGTCATCATAGGAGGTGACCTGATCGGGTTTTCGGATACGTCGAATTGGGTCCAGCGAGCCCAAGAGGTCCCTTCAGATAAACAAAATGATGGCATGTGCAGGAGGCCGGCAATTCTAGAGAAGTCATTCCAATGGAGTCATCGGTTTAGGTTCGTTTGGGTATGTAAGGGAAAACCTTCCTGATACGATCCCGGATGAGGTGAACCGACCTCAGGGCATTCGGGCAGTTCGTACTGACTGGGCCCGCGAGTGAGGGGGCTGGTCGTAGTGAAAGCGTACTCCTGACGGACCTCACATGGGGCAAGCTAGCCCCAGGGATTTCGAGGAAGTGCCTCCTGATCTATTCCCCATGTTATCCAGTGAAGAACCTCCTGATACAAATTGGATAAGATGAGCCGGTCTTAGCTGATTCGGAGTCCCTCCTGGCTGAGTTCTAGAACGAAATGGGCCGACTGATAACGGCGACCCGAGAGCGTGACACGGCCTACTGTATGGCCCACGCGATCTGGAAGTAATCACCTACGGAGAGCGACTGGAACAAATACAGGCGTCTCAGACACAAGGCTCAGCGCCTCTTAGCTAGGTGCAGTGGCCAACTTCGATGTCGGCAAAGGCCCACGGACAAGACGGCCCTGTGTCTCTGCGTCAAAGCGTCTATGCTTCGGCCGGCAAAACCGACAGATGCCGAATCACAATCTCATGACGGGGCCGATTATTTTAATCGTCAGCTGGTGTCTGTCGGTCCACTGGTGTCTGTTTAATCGTCCGCTGGTGTCTGGTGTCTGTCTGCAACGCCACTGAGCCAGCGCCTGAGGGGCCCACGTATTTCATCACCTGGACCACTATGCGTTACAGCGAACGGCGTGAGGCTATCACATTCCATGAGGTCTCTGCCATCATCAGTGGCGTGTCTCCTTCTAGAGAGGCGGTGTTTGAAGATGTATCTCTACATGCAGAGCGTTAAATTTTTGTTGGTTATTGGCCGTTTGTTTTTCATCTTGGCAACTCATATGCTGTAGCATGTCTCCTTCCGTCTTCTCGGAAAGTGGCATCTGCGTTCTCTCTTCACAAATCTGGTGCACGTGATACAGGTCGCAATTTTAGACCTATCCTCATTTTACCGGGGTGATCACAAATATGTGAAAAGGTTGTCTTCACGCGGTTGTCGTCCTATCTCGTTACCAACCTTGTTTTATCTAGCTCACGATACAAGTACAAACCAGGCCATTCCATAAAGAACACCGTGGTAAACTCGGTCAATGGATTGCCCACCGAGTTAAGAAAAGCCATGAGGTTGTCGTCACGTCATTTGCTTTGGGCTGAGCGGTTGATACTGTCGACCATTCAGCCTTTTCATGCGAGCAACAAGACCTTCAAACCTCACCGAGTAACCGACCTTAACCTTGAAACCTCTTTTAAAAAACATTTACTCGTATTTCAGGACAATGGGCTCATCTGGCTTTCAGAAGTTCGTGGTGACCAAAGCTTTTTTGATGTTTTAAAAAAATTAGATCAGCGTTTAAGTTTGCTCTAAGCGCTGTATGCCTATAAAAAGGTTGGTCGGGATCATCTTAGATTAGTGACCTCTTTTGACCTTTATTTAGTCCAAACAAGATGCCTACTGACAATCCTGCGATCAACAAATAGGACATGAGCGCCAAAACTTCGCTACAACACATGCCTTCTATTAAAAACCAAATTGGTTTATACCCCGATTATATATTTATACCTGGCTTAAAGGCAATTCAATAAGTCGTAATTCTGGATTAAACTCTCCAATTGTCCACGAAATCACTTCAAAGATGTATGGCATTGTCCAATACTCAGTTGTCGCATCAGGTTGAACCATTCCCTATTATTTCCCTTCGTTGACAGCCATGGCCTGACCTTGACTTGCCGGAGGCCAGTGAACTACAAGGTGCATCAAATTGCTCATGCCAAAAGATCAACCATTTACTTTTCTACATTTATGCGAAGTTTGTCCGGCTATGCTAGAGTGTTTGAAAGTTATTCTGGAAAACCTTCGACGGATCAAATCTCCCCCCCCCCCCCAACACACACACACATTAGCACATGCTACATCCCAGCAGAAAAGGCCTTGGTCAATGTCAAAACATAATTCCCTACTAATTCCTTGAGATGAAGCCAACCAAAACAATCGTCTTTGTTATCGGCACGCCCAACTTCATTAGAACGGCCGCATCCTTTCGCCTGGACCTTGCCGGTCTCACGCTATTCCTTCACCTCTGCGAAACTGCGGGGCGTAACATGGGGACAACCACATGTCCTGGGAGGATCACATCTAAAAGCTGCTGTACAACTTTATCTCTTTAATATGAGCCGCCTCTCACTGCTGTGTCTCAGCGTGCCACCCACGCATCGGTGGAGGGCGCGCTGGAGCCTCCGACTCTCCGCCTTTCCGTCACGTGCCGACTGTTGTCGTACTGCGCTGCCTTTTGTTGAAATGGCCTGCTTCCGCCCAGTGCAGCCTTTGGTACCCCGCGTGAATTTACACTCAAACTAAACAAGACTTTGACTTCACAATTGCTCAACAAATGTGTGTATATGAGCCTAGTTCACTGTCTTTTAATCAATGCGCATGTTTGTGTAGTTCTTTGCTTTTACCATGTACTTGGTTGGGATCGATAGCAGCTCACTGCGTGGAATGATTTATAATAAGCTAAACTGAGCTTAGTTGGCTAAGTGGGCCCGAGGAGGTACCTCCTGATAGGCCCCTGACGTGGTAAGCTGGCGGCAGGGGATCGGAGGGATCATCCCCTGGCAGGCCTCGGACGACGTGGGCGGGCCGCAGGGAATCAGGGGAACTATCTTCTGATACAACCTAGGGCGTCGTGGGCTGGCCGCAGGGAATCAAGGGAGCTACCTTCTGATGCAACCTAGGGCGACGTGGGCTGGCCGCAGGGAATCAGGGGAACTATCTTCTGATACAACCTAGGGCGTCGTGGGCTGGCCGCAGGGAATTAAGGGAGCTACCTTCTGATGCAACCTAGGGCGACGTGGGCTGGCCGCAGGGAATCAGGGGAAGGACGTTTTGACACGACTTCGGACAGCTTGGGCTGGCCGCAGGGAATCAGGGGAAACACATTTTGATACTACTTCGGACAGCTTGGGCTGGCCGCAGGGGAATCAGGGGAAACACATTTTGATATCTGAAAAAATTATGCCAAGAGACTGTGCGTGTGCGTGTGCGTGTGTGCGTGTGTGCGTGTGTGCGGCGTGTGCGGCGTGTGCGGCGTGTGCGTGTGTGCGTGTGTGCGGCGTGTGCGGCGTGTGGCGTGTGCGCGTGTGCGCGTGTGCGCGGTGTGCGCGTGTGCGCGCGTGCGCGTGTGCGCGCGTGTGTGCGTGTGCGCGCACACGCGCACACGCACACACGTGTGCGTGTGTGTGTGTGTGTGTGTGTGTGTGTGTGTGTGTGCGTGCGCGTGTGCGCGTGTGTGCGCGTGTGTGTGCGTGTGTGCGTGTGTGCGCGCGCGTGTGTGTGTGTGTGTGTGTGTGTGTGTGTGTGCGTGCGCGTGTGCGCGTGTGCGCGTGTGCGCGTGTGCGCGTGTGCGCGCGTGTGTGCGCGTGTGTGTGCGTGTGTGCGTGTGTGCGCGCGCGCGTGTGTGTGTGTGTGTGTGTGTGTGTGTGTGTGTGTGTGTGCGTGTGCGCGTGTGCGCGTGTGCGCGTGTACGCGTGTGCGCGCGTGCGCGCGTGTGCGCGCGTGTGCGCGCGTGTGTGCGCGTGTGTGCGCATGTGTGCGTGTGTGTGTGTGTGTGGTGTGTGTGTGTGTGTGTGTGTGTGTGTGTGTGTGTGTGTGTGTGTGTGTGTGTGTGTGTGTGTTGTGTGTGTGTGGTGTTGTGGTGTGTGTGTGTGTGTGTGTGTGTGTGTGTGTGTGGTGTGTGTGTGTGTGTGGTGTGTGTGTGTGTGTGTGGTGTGTGTGTGTGTGTGTGTGTGTGTGTGTGTGTGTGTGTGTGTGTGGTGTGTGTGTGTGTGTGTGTGTGTGGTGTTGTGTGTTGTGTGTGTGTGTGTGGTGTGTGTGTGTGTGTGTGTGTGTGTGTGTGTGTGTGTGTGTGTGTGTGTGTGTGTACTGCTGTTCTGTACATCAGAACAGAGCATACAGACGTGTGTGTATACGTGACTTGACCTCAGGCGCGACGGCATGAAGAGGCGTCGGTCGTGGTATAACCAAGAACCGGTGGGGACCGCCCGGAATACGGGGTTATGCGCGGCGGTAGCTGGATCTATCCGTTGATGTGCAAGGCCTTGGGAGAGAACAAGACACAGCCTGTTCTCTTCCGACGTGGTGTACGCCAGGCCTTATGAGCTCTTGATGGTGGGATGTTCGCAACGGATGGAGATCCCGCCATCGACGCTGATAGGGAAGGCGACAAGGGACCGGGTCGCCGGACAGGGCGGTCAGGCCGGGTCTCCAGAGTGTGCCGGCCGAGGAGACCAAGGAGTAAGTCGTGGACGCAGGTCACGCTGGGCGCTCGCTGTCTGCCAAGGGGCTCCACCGTCTCATCGCGCGCGTTGCCTCCAGGCCTCTGAAGGACGCGCCAAGGGGCGGTGCCTTGCAACGCTCACTCTGGCGGGCGGGAGGCGAGGGCGCAGAAGCGCCGGAAGCGACGCCTCCGTGCTGGACTGTGTGTTAAGGTGCTGCCTAAGCCGCGTGCGGCAGCGGAAGGCTGCGAGCGGTGGGCGTGGCCAAAGAAGTCGTGGGCCGCCCACCGTGGACGAAACGCAGAGAGCGTCGTCCGAATAGCGAGCCGTCACCCTGGAGGTCTGGCGAGAAAACGAGTCGTCGCTCAGCCTCGGGCACCTGATGTCGGTCCAGAAGCTGCGTCGGTACCGAGCTGATCAATTTAATCGGATATCTTTAAAAAGGTTTAAACGCGGCTTTATCTGGGAGCCCTGGGAGCCCCCCCCCCCCCCCCGGCCTTAACTAACTCTCGCAGACTCCATACATTCGGCGCACCACCGTATGTGATGTGTATGTGTATGTGATAAACAAACTCGATTTGTCTTAATGAGAACTCGTGCAGGCGTGCCAGTTATAATGCCAAGGCGCGGGATAAAACAAGGGGGGGGGGGGTCCCATCCGTGTGTCCGCCAAGAATGAGTGGGGTGGCGTGGCGCCAGTGGATGTGTATGCTTGGAGTGAGTGCGGTTGTGCGCCGAATGCATGGAGTCTGCGAGGGTTAGTTAAGGCTGGGGGGGGGGGCTCCCAGGGCTGTTATCCAGTGAGCCCTTGCAAATGTATTCGCCGGTTACGTGGGATCCCTTCCAATTTGGGCGCATTATCTACGCATGCGGTTTTGTTTTTGCCCCGTTCAAATATTATCATCATCTAAGAAGTGGAGGTGGGTTACCGTGGTGTACCACAAGAACCAGGCACAAGTATGTCTCTCGCCAGTTCCTATGTAAAGCACGGCACACAGCCATATACAGGGAGACAGCCGTTCATGGTGCCTGACCGGACCTACCATCCAGCCAATGTCCCGGTCACCCGCTTCATCCCATCTCTGTGGCTCACATGCGTATGTGTTGATATCGGGTGTACCGGAGTCACAACGTGCCGAGCCGTGCGCTAGCGTCAACTGGCTCGTATGCTGACCAATGAGTTCCTCAGTATAAATTTGCTCTTGTGGGAAGACATAATGGCGGCAGCCGGCGACGCACAGCCAGCTGGGGTCTGGCAGCAGCGCAGAGCACCCACCCACCGCAGTTTCCCTCATCACAGTCCCCCCCCCCCCACACACGTGCATATTGATTATTGAAAGGTTGTTGATGATAAATCGTATGTGAATGTTCAGCACTTGACTTTTCGTAAATTAGGCGAACTGATGTCTGTCAGATGGCATTTTAAGGTTGACAGTGCATTTCTGGACGCAAGCTCTATACTGAAAAAGGAAAATCTCTCTCCGTGAAATAAAGAGATTCAGACCATGTGATACATGGCGTTTGGTACCATACATACAGGTGGGACGGATTCATCGAGTGGTGAATCCGTCCCACCTGGTTTTGTAGCATCGCAACTGACCTAGTTTTTTTCTGTTGCAGGAACTGATCCAGTGAATCACCCCCGTCAGCCATTTCATATGTAAACCTTGCACAGCACGCTCACGTCTCCAGCGGAGACAGTGGCATGTCACGCGCCATGTTTGACATGTGTACAGCCTTCGCGAAATGCATGAGATCAGCGAGTGAAAGCTCTTGTTTTGTAGAGATTTGGTTTAAGTTTTATCGTGAACAACTTTTGCGTGCGGAGTGTGAGTTATTTGGCATGTGTGTACCTAAGCATATTCCTCGGGCCGAGCTCCTTTGCCTAGGGCCTAAGCACTCTGTGAAATGACCATGGTTAACGAATGACAGGACATTGTCATGCCATATGTAGGCATTCTGCCATGGTTAGGAGCTTCCGGGCGAAAACTTGTATAGACTTCATTGCTGACCAAAGTTCATTATGCTTCTCGCAAAGCTTGTGCTTGAATCCGAGATGGCTCATCGGTGGCTCCGTCATCAGCCCTGAGGCAAGGATGGACGGCGGGGGAAAGGATGAATTCGCGGAGAAAATAACGTCAACATGATGGCGTTGCACAAGAAGAAAAATCTGAAAAAATGGCTTGGTCTTGGTCAACTCTGCACCCAGTAATTTATTCAGAATTTATATATTTGCGGTAGAACCAGACACAAGTATGTCTCTCGCCAGTTCCTATGTACATATTCATCAATGCCTGCATGTAAAGAAAAGGACTTTTTAAGGAGAGAACTGGGCGATGCCGCCATATTTTGCTACGCATGCGCTATAAGCCTGCATGAGAAACCCACGTAGGATTTACTAATTCCCTAACGTTACACTTCTACACTACATACTGTGAGTACATGATCCCTCATACTTTCATTTGGCCGATGACCACGTGGTCCTTTACGCAGCGAAAACGCACGGGCACGCTCAATGTGCAAGGTCATAAGTGACAGCGTGCCGCCCACACGTGCCGCAGGTGGGAGGCAGCATGTCCCCTCTATCGTGTGCCCTTCCATCAGGAAAATACGGATACTTTTCGTACCATATTTTTCATTTCATATCAAACATTTCGGCGTTTAAAAGGCCAAAACTGCGTAAGGTGAAGCACCATGCGTATCCAACAGTTCCAGCGCAGCATTCCTGCAGGAGAGCACATCTGGGCCACACCCGGCGACCGAGCGTGTTCTGAGGCGGTAGCCGCATGGCTGCGGCCAAGATTACCTCACTCACCGATGTATGATGTCAATGTTACATTATCACGAAGTTATGTTGCACCAATGTACACGCCCCGCCCTGCCCAGCCTCGCCAGTGCAAGTTGTGTGTGCGCGTGTGTTTGTGACGCAGTGTTCATGCCGGTCCAGCTGTTTTTCAATACACTCAGGTACCCGATACGGTATCCAGGGTCGACCTTGTTCTAACACCGAAATATGCCGTCTCTGAGAAGGAAAAACGCACGCGTCGCCTCCCGGCCAAGTCAAATGCCTCGGGGAAATAGGCCTTAAAATGACAGATGCGACACACGCTTTTCTTTGAGACAACAGAAGACAAGCGACATCGACACCGCAAACTGACTGAGACAGCTATGAACAGGACCCACGTCATTCAGAGCCAACACTCGATAACCAAGTGCACCAGGGACACAAAATCACCATGCCTCGCGGAAAACTGCGAGTCCCGACTTCCTCAGGTTAGTTTATATCGCAAACGCATTTGTAGCTGCACGGGTCAAGGAGGCCACCTTTCTTTCTCATTATCGCTTCGTACTACGTCCCACATCTACGCGGTGGAGTATGGCGGAGTAGGGCGGGCGGTGGAGTAGAGCGGGTGTTTGTGTATGGCGGCGGTGGAGCAGAATGGCGGTGGAGTAGGGCGGCGGTGAAGCAAGTGGAGGCGCGGAAGGTGAAGGTGGAGTAAGGCGGCGGTGGATTAGGGCAGCCGTGGGGTAGGGTGGCGGCGGAGTAGGGCAGAGATGGAGTAGGACAGCGGTAGAGTATAACAGCGGTGAAATAGGGGCATTGGAGCAGGGCGGAGGGTAAGTAGTCGCTCCACCTATTTCCGAGCCGCTGGTCATCTTATGCTAGTGCTGTGCTGTCCGCGCAGCCCTCAATACCAGCGATGTCAAATCACCAGGCCAGCTTCCAAGGAGCCAACGACACGATCACAAAGACAGGCCAATTCAGCCGACGACGCGGAGTGATTGCCAACCTGTACCTCAGGCCTTAGCGGCAATAGAATCAATCACAGTACGTGTTGGTGAACCTTGCCGTCGTTACAGAGCGCACACGGAGACGCCCTCCTGTCAAACCTCTTCATGGCCACGGCTTTTTCTTATTACAAAGACACGATCGGGCCCCCGCGTGTTTCCGTCGGTAGGCCTGAGCCGTCCTTACAGCACATGTCAGCAGTCTCAGGCGGTGAGGGTCAGCTCTCTCCGGTACCTGGAGGGTGGGGGTGTCAGCTCCCTCAGGCACCTAGAGATGGGGCGTCAGCCCTCTCAGGTACTTGGAGGTGGGGTGTCAGCTCTCTCCGGTACCTAGCGGTGGGGCGCCAGCTCTCTCAGGTACCTGGAGCTGGGGCGGTCAGCTCTCATGCACCTGATGGTGGGGTGTCATCCTCTCAGGCACCTGGTGGCGGGGCGTCAATCCTCTCAGGTACCTGGAGGTGGGGCGTCAACTCCCTCAGGTATCTGAAGGTGGGGCGTCAGCTCTCTCAGGTGTGGCGTCAGCTCTCTTAGGTGGGGCGTCAGCTCTCTTCGGTACCTGGCAGTGGGGGTGTCAGTTCTCTCAGGCACCTGGCGGTGGGGCGTCAGTCCTCTCAGGTACCTGGAGGTGGGGCGTCAGCTCCCACAGGTACCTGATGGTGGGGCGTCAGCTTTCTCAGGTACCTGGCAGTGGGGCGTCAGCTCTCTCAGGTACCTGGCAGTGGGGCGTCAGCTCTCTCAGGCACCTGGCGGTGGGATGTCAGCTCTCCCACCAACAGCTGCAGGCCGGGCCTGGCCGTCTGGCGGGGGCCGTCGCCGGCTGCGGTCTTCTGGCGCTTTGACCGGCGGCTGCGCGCTGTAGGGAGCGCAGCCACCCGGCCGCGCTCTGATGTAGGCGGGCGGGCCGCGCAACGCGCCACACTCAGGGCGTGGTGACCGAAGACTGGCCCCGGAGAGCTCCGGCAGTGTTATCGCGGCGAGCCGTGTGACAGGTGGCGATGCTTCTGACCACGATAGAGGAGCGCGAGACTTTGTCACAGGCATTTGATTATTTCTATCCTTCACCGAAGGAGACATAATGAGTATGTTCGACCAATGGCATACGTCTTCGCACATCTACGACTTATTCGGGCTTGGTCAGCAACTGCGAAAATGTGCGACAATGTTCGTTACAGAAACGAATAAGTACCCATATGAACTAACATACATTTAAACGAATACGCGTGTACATGCACCTGCCCATCATGTCAAAAGTACGCTAATTTCTAACTGGCTAATGCGCTCAGGACCGTCCAATTAGCAAATCTCCATACTCTCCCCATGATTCGCTGTCAAACGCGGAATGGATTCATACGCCAACATACCTTGCAGCACGCTTACACTTCGGCAGCGTGAAAGTTCACAAAACAAGCAGCGAGGCATCGCCAGCATTTATTATTCAAAATTTCAGCACGGGTAAAGCAAAGGTAACTAATTCTCATAAAACGTTGTCATTACTCCCGCAAGCACAAAAAATGTCCGCGGTAGTGGTACACTTACAAAACTTCAATCCCAACCGTGTGGGAAAGCACACCTCTGAGGCGAGGGAGTCACAACAGCGTCAACAAACTTCGCCCCATTCCAGCTTGGATAGAGGTAATCGCAATGGGAGCAAGTGGGAGTAGAAAACTAAACTGTACGACTCGTCAACGCCACCGGGGGCGGAAGCGCCACCTACACAACCGAGACGATCTCGCTATACAGGTCGGGACTGAGGATGTCACCGAGACAACCGAGCACCGAGTCGGGGCACAGCGGCGGCGTCTTCCCGGCCCGCGTCCGCTCGCGCCTCCGCTTGTGTACCATCTTCATGTGCATAGAGTAGTTGAACCTGACCAGGAAGGACTTGCCGCACACGTCGCACGCCAGCCCGTCGCCGGCCGTCGGGCTGGCGCCCTGCCGGCTCGGCAGCGTCTCGGCGTCCGGGGCCGCTGCGTCCGTCGGCGGCGGCGGCGGCGGCGGGGGCGGCGGGTGGCGGCGGCGGCGGCGGCGGCGTCGCTGGAGGCTCCGGTCCGCCGCACTCGTGGCTGTGGACCATCTCGGGCGTGGCCACGGGCGCGCGGCAGCGGCTGCAGAGCATTAAGCCATGCGCGCTGGCGCGGTGACGCTCCAGCTTGGCGGGCGTGTCGAAGGCGCGCAGGCAGCGACTGCACGGGAAGCGTGGCGGCTCGTGACCCAGCCGATGCCGGTACAGCGCCGACGCGCTCTCCATCACCAGGCCGCAGACGTCGCAGCCGCGGTAGCCGGTGCGGTGCAGCCGCAGGTGCAGCGGCATCAGCACGCGCGCGATGAACTTGCGGCAGACGCGGCAGCGGGCGGCGTCGGAGCGGTACCAGCGCTGAGGCCGCAGCTCAGGCGGGTCGCGGCGGCGGGCTGCGGTCGCCGCCAGCCGCCGGCTCGGGCAGAAGCCGCGGCGGCTCGGCGCTACCCGAGTACGTGTCGGCCAGGTCCAGCACACCGTCCACCTCCACCATCTCGCCGAAGTCGAGCAGGCGGCGGCGCGGCGGCCGGGCACGCCGCGCCCCGCTCGTCGCTGCCTCATCGCCGGAAGAGTCCGCAGCTGGCGCCGGATCGCCCAGACGCGACACGAAGCTGCGTCGCAGCAGGTGCGAGCCCGGCTTGCGCAACACCTTCATGCGCCGCGCCGGTGGCAGCACCACCGGCTGCCGCTCAGCCGCCAGCGACGCCAGCAGGGTCGGGGCCTTGGACACAACCGGCGACTCAGTGGGGGCCAAGTTCTCCGGCACTTCCTCGGGCGCCACCTTCCTCTTCCTCAGCCGCTGTCGCATCGTGCGACTGATTCTCGGCGGCGTGGGAGGATCATTCACATGCCGGAGACATAGCTGCGACAGGAAGCTGCCCTTGAAGCGGTCGCGCTCCATGTCCGGCATCAACGTCACGTACGTCGGCAGCGCGGTGGGCAGGCCGCCACGCTGCCCGCCGTCGCCGGCGGGACCCGGGGGCTCCTCCGGCCCGTGTCCGCCGGCCGCACCCGCGGGCTCCTCCGGCTCACGCCCGTCGGCCAGCGAGGAGCAAGCGGCGGCCGCCGCCGTCGCCAGCTCGCGCAGCCGCAGCAGCGCCGCGTCGGCCGCGACCGGTTCGTCCTCGCGCTCCTCGGCCGCGATGGCGGACAGCTGCCGCAGCCAACAGCGGCGCGCGGCGAAGCAGGCGCACGCAGCGAAGCCGGTGAAATCCGGCGCCCCGGCCGCGCCGGCGCCGTCCGCCGGCGGTGGGCCCGCCACGGCGTCCGCTGACGTCACCGGAGCAGGCTCCAGCGGCGCCGCGACGTGATCACCCGACCCCGCATCGCGCGCCGTCCGAGAAGGCGCAGGCTGTCCGCCGGAATCGTCGCAGCTCGGCACACAGACAGCGGGGCTCGATTCCGGCAGGGCCAACGATAGGTTAGTTGGGCAGGTCAGCTGGTTAGCAGTCGTATTTAATGTGCCATTGCTGGTGCACGACATCTTCTCGACATAACGTCCTCCTGGCTTCTGCGCCGACCTCCCGGGTCCAGGCCCGGCCATAGCTTTTGATGACCGCAATTTGGTCGTTAGCTTCTGGGCCGGTTTCCGCCTCCTCGGCACCGAAGCTGGCCGCGGCCGGTGCAGGACGGGAGAAGTGGACGACGGCGGGGAGATGACGCCGGCACTGCCGCCTGCCGGCGCAGTTGGTCCCAACCCGGGCACAGGGCAGCGCTCCGGACCGGCGTCCTCACCAACGTCGTTCTCCACCACCCAGATCACACCACCCGCCTCGGCCACCACGCCCGACACATCGTCCACCACCTCGATCACGTCCTCGCCCGCCGACAGCAGGACGCCGTCCAGCTCACAGCGCGCGGCCGCCGCCGCAGGCCGGCGACCGGCCGCCGACTCGTCCTCGTCCGGCGCCGCCGTGGCTGCCGCCTCCTCCTCAGACATCTGCGACGAGCAGTCCGTGAAGATATCAATCAGCGGCGACCCGACGCCGTCCGAGTGCTCCTCCCAGAGCTCGGCGAGCACGCCGTTGGGGATGTCCGGCGGCCGCGAGCGCTCCGGCTCGGTGGCGCCGTCCGCCGGCTGGCCGCCGCTCCGACGCGAGCGCAGCATACTTCCCAGCGGCAGCGGTGCCGTGCAGGGCAGACCAGGCGACACTGATGACGCCCGGTGAGCAGGGGCCAGGCGCCG